AGGTGACGGACATGTCTTCTATGTTTTCCGGAGCCACGAGCTTCAACATAGACATTGATGGTTGGGACACCAAACAGGTGAGGAACATGGCTTCTATGTTTCATGGAAGCACTCACATGCACTCCTCCTCCAGCAGCAAATGGGGAGAGGTGGCATTCAAATCCCCAGAAAAGTTTGACAAATTTGAGCTTAGGAACCACGAATTGGAAGGCAACGACGACAAGAACGTTCACATATGTTCCTTCAGCGAAAACCCTCTCAGACCTTTCGTTCTTTTCGAGTATCTTCGAAAACCAGAGGATTCGGAGGACTACAAGTTAAAATGGGAGTTGCATAAGCAAGTTGGGGTTGCATCCATGGGAGTGCAGGGAGGAACGGTAACGCAGGACCAACTTTTCAATATTACGGAAGTTACTACCACCGAGGGAGAAAAAGTTTATTGTGAAACACCCCAAACCCCATCTAAACTTGCAGCACTCTCGGGAGAAGAACAAAAAGTTCGCGTGTTGAGGCCAAACGTCGCCAACGGAGGTGTTCGGGTTGGTGAGTGGTATAATCTATGCATGCCAAGGGTTTTCAAGCCAGCCAAGTCTTCTCGTTATCTAACTCTCTCCCTCTCTCGTGCTGCTTATTGATGACGTTCAGGAAAAGTCTCTTTCAACTTGGGGCCTGAACATGGTCAATATTGTATGTAATTATATTGTGGTTTTTGATCGCTCGATCTATACATTCTGGTGGGCAGCTGATCGTCTTGTTTTTGCTTCTTTTTGTGCCATGCAGCTCTCAGGATTTTCTACGAGTCTTCTAGTATCTTGGTCTCTCATCTTGATTACAAGATAACTGTGACAAAAGAAGGAAAATTCACTGGTGTCACAGTTGATGTTGACAGCTCAAGTGCTTCCGTAGATGCGGAGGTGAAGGAAGAGGTGGGCGTTACAGCAACTGTGTGCGGAGATCCGACCACCATTTTCAAGGTTGGTCAAGAGTTTAGCATCTGCGTGACACCTCCAGGTAACCACGTCATCAGTGGCTTCAAGAACGTCATCTGCAAGAGTGGTGCATTCGAGAAAGAACTTTTTGATGGAGCTGGTGGCAAGGTAGACCTGCTGACCAGCCTTGATCTCGAAGCCAATAAATTCACCAGCGTTGTCACCACAGGATTTGTTGGGGGCGGCAAAACTGAGTTTGAATGCACTGGTCGTGTGGTACTCCAGAGGGCACGCCTACGCCGTGATCTCCAGGCCTCAGAGGAGAACACAGAGGATCTCTTTTCTGTGCAGATTCCCATTGCTGCTCGGTCCGATGGTGTGGATGCTGGTGTGGATGCGCTGGGGATTGCCGCACCTGGTGTTGCTGTAGGACCCTTGGCCGTTGGAACCGCTGGAGCCATTGCTTTGGCTGCCGCATTGTTGTAACCAACGACGATTCCAGGAGAACCTCTGCCTCCGGTGTTGAGGCTGCTACCAGCACCATCACAAATATTGCTGCGGCATTGCTTCAAGGAAATGAAGATTCTTAGGAAAAGAAAGGAAGAAAAATTAAACGTTGAATACATATGGAACCAAAAGATACATAGGTAGTGCTGCCCGGCCCGTACGAGAAGAAAAACCAAAAAATGCTGTTTGGCCGTGGCGTAAAACAAAAAAAATAATAGTATTGAGTCAATGATGTCCCTTTTTTTTTAATCTTTATTGTTCCACAAATTCGACACACCTTCGGACATCTCTTTTCAATAAAAGAATATGAGTTTCAAGGCGATGATGCACACCCCTCTAAATTACTGTATGACCCCTGCGGTACAGTACTACCCGTACGTACCTCGTCCGCAACATTCTCATGAGTAGCCAGAATTACTAGTAGACACAACCGTCACCACCGCAATCGCCAAATCCATTCCATCGCTTTGTGTCTTGCCGTGTCACGCCATACGGACCATGCCAGACGGCTAGGCCGTCCCCGTCGAACAAACCATCTTTCTTGGAATTTCGGAGAGACCCTTCGAGAAGGATTGTCTCGCATGCCCGCACGAAATTGCAGCGCGTCGCCCGTCGCGGTGCCGCCAATCAGACAGACTCAGACTTCGATCGAAGCCCAAAAATGAAAAAATACTTCTAGTACGGTTCCTCGTTTTGTACCGTACTGTTGCGAGATATTCGATGTTCCCATCGAAACAGAACACACATCACATCGCATTGCTTGCAAAACAGCGCACAAGCAAGCCACTTTGCTTCCCACAATATTGTTTGCAGCACCGACATTGCCACAAAAATCAAACTACAAAACCGCAAACGAAACAAGCCAGACGAAAAAAATTGAAAATTGAAAATGGAGGATTTCCCGAAGATCGACCGTGCCAACGACGACGACGACTGCGGCGGCGATGGCGAGCGGGCCTCGCTGGCCTTGGCCTCCCCTCTGTTCGGCCCGCGAAAGGCCTCTGCGGAAGAGGGCCTCCTATCTCTCTGGACCGGCCCGGAGAGGTCCCTGTCTCCCGGCTCTTCGCACCCTTGGACGGACCGAACACGGGCCCTCCGCGTCATGACCCACGCCGGGAGGATCCTGTGGAAGGCAGCGGGCCTGGGCGGCGCGAAAGGGGTGGCCGGGCCGGTGTCGATGGTCCTCCTGGCCGGTCTCCTGAAGCGGTCGGTGGGCCGGGGCCTCCTGGGGATCCAAGGGGCCGCCCGGAACGGATCCAGGGCTTTGGCCGGAAGCAACCAAACAGAAACCGAAATAGAAACCGACGACGACGAAATCGACGAGATGTACTCGGAAGACACCGGGGAAACCATCCACAACAACGACAGCATCGTCGACACCATCGTCGAAAGCATCGTCGACGGCGATGGCAATGCCCCACCGGAGCCCGTCCGCGGCAAGCGAAGGAAGCCGGCGCTCCTGTCCTTCCTCCTCCCGCGAGCGTCCGTCGACCACGACGAGAACGAGAACGATGACCACCACCGCGAGGTGGTGGAGGAGTGGGACTTTGGGGGTGCCGACACGGAAGCCGGAGCGTCGATGGATTCCCGGCCCCCCAAGCGGACCAGGCGCGAGACGGGCTGGCGGGTGTGGGAGGAGGACCCTTTTTCTTCCCGGCACGGTGTCTTCTCCAGAGAACGACCCAAGACGGTCCGCGATCGCAAGGACCGTGGCGCGGAAACCCTCCGGCCCCGGAAGCGGGCCAGGGCGGCCGGACACGGATGGGACCACCAAAACAGCGGCTGCAACGACACCTTCGGCTGCAGCGCGAACGCGAACGCCCACGGCTACGACCAAGGGCAAAGACGGTTCCTCTGGTCTGCCACCGCGTAGGCACCCGATGCGCAAACCCGACCCATGGTTCTACCCATTTTCTACAACGCCACCACCAACACCAACGATACCAATGCCAACAACGATTTTTGCTACCAAAACTCCCGACGGAAACCGATCAACGACAGATCGACAACCAATCCACAGCAGACCATGCCGAATGGTTGATTTTAGGAGGCACGGCACGGAACGAATCCATTCCGGTACGAGTACCCATCCCACGTTTCACCCAACAAGAAACACAAACAAAAGACACAAGCAAACACGATGTGCGACCCAATCCAAGAAACCGATCCGACGAGGGCAACGATGGTTTTTAAAATCGGTCGGACCACGGTGCGGACGGATGGCATCGGAGCACTTTCCAGAAGACAGAACGAACCCATCCCGCAAGTAGCTTGCTACAAGGACAAGAATTGCGGTCCGGCATCTTATTTTGCTACAAAGATCTGAAAATCTACCCGCTGTTCTTCATTGCGTCAAACAATCGACCTTTCGCTCAAGCAAGAACATTCCAGCAAACTATATACTGTAGTTTAGAACCAAAAATGGCAATGCAGCAGTACACAAATAGTACGGCATGCTTTTTAGAATTAAGTATTTTTCCGATTTTCCAACTACCGGTACCGTACCACAACCGCAATCTATCGATTGGTGTATCAGTACTACCCACTAGTTTCATTTCGCACCATGGATTTTCGACAAATTCTATGCGTTTCCATAATTGAGTTGTTGAAGATTGAAATAGATCGTCTTCTGCAGGTGTTGCTAGTTCTTGTTCCTGCGAGGAAGCTAACTAGGATCACCGAGAGTTTGTAGTAGTAGTTGGAAGCTGGTTCTCTTCAGCAAATATCAGCTACTATTTGACTAAGTGGTTCAATGGTTCAATTAGTACTCACTTAACCACGTGTCGCTTCAAGGCAGCATTGGTACATTCCATTTACCATACACATAGTATGTATGGTAGATAGATAGATATTATATAGCTATGGGAATACCGGTATGTAGTCTTAATCAATATCAGCAGGTCTACCCCCGGATAAGAAATAAAAATTTATGTGTAGAGCTATAGCTGGAGCTGGAGCTGTAACTGAAGCTGTAACTGAAGCTGGAGCTATAACACTAGCTGTTGCTCTTGCCTTTGCTGTTGATGTAGCTCTAGCTCTAGCTTTCTATCTATAGCTGCAGCAATGCTCCAGTGTTACTTTAGCTATAGCTGTAGCTAACATATAACCAGCACTAGTCCAAGCACAAGTCCTAGTAGCACTAGTCCTAGCATTAGTAGTCCTAAAACTAGTCCTAGCACTAGTCCTAGCAATAACTGTAAATGTAGCTGTAACTGTAGCTGTAGCAGAAGATATCCTTCTTACTAATGTTACTTTAATAGTATGAGTATTGCCAATATTAAAAAATTAGAAGTAGTAGCAGAAAAAGTAATACTAGTATTTGATGTAGTAAATTCAGTACCAGAACTTCTACTTCTTAACTACTACAACTTCTTTTTCTGATACTATTTCTATTATCTATACTATAGCTGAATCACCAACACTACTATTACTTGTAGTAGCAGTATCATTAGCAGTATTTGATGTAAATTCAGTACAAGAAGTACTGCTTCTTAACTACTACTACTTCTTTTTCTGGTACTATTTCTATTTTCCATATAGTTGAATTAATAATCATACTACTACTACTAATAGCCAGAAATAGTAATACTAGTACTAGTTGTTGTACTTTCAGTACTACTTCTACTACTGGTTAAGTACTACTAAATCTTTTTCTCAAGCTAGTTCTTTTTTTCACATAGTTGTACCTTTGCTGGCTATATTAGCTCTATAGTAGCTGGTGAGGCTGTAGCAGAAGCTGTAGCTTTAGCTGTAACTCTAGATATATCTTAGCTCTAGTAGAACCTACCTCTAGTAGATATAACTCTAGGAGATATTGCTCTAGATATAGATATAGCTCTAGATTCAATTGCATTACTACTATATGAAAACAGAATTAGTAGCAGAAAAAGTAGTACTAGTACTTGTTGTAATTTATGTATCAGATGTACTACTGGTGCTTTACTACTACTACTACTTCATCTTCTCATACAATTTCTATTTTTCACAAAGTTGTATTGTAATCTATATTAGCTCAATATATATATGTACTACTAGTAGTATGTTTATTACTACTTTATGAAAAACAGAATTAGTAGCAAAAAAGTAATACTAGTACTTGTTGTAATTTAAGTACTAGATCTACTACTGGTTAACTACTACTACTTCATCTTCTCATACTATTTCTATTTTTCACAAAGTTGTACTTTAATCTATGTTAGCTCAATATATAAGTACTAGTAGTATGATTATTATTACTATGAGAAAAACAGAATTAGTACCAGAAAAAGTAATACTAGTAGTTGTTGTACTTTCAGTACTAGATCTACTACTGGTTAACTACTACTACTTCATTTTCTCCAGCTAATTCTTTTTTTCATATAGTTGTACTCCTAGCTCTAACTCTAGATTTATCTATAGCTATAGAACTAGCCCTAGCTAGCCCTAACTATGATAGCTCAAGCCTT